GACTGAACGCTGCCTGACCAGGATAGTAACCTTGCAACCTGCTACAGCACTTTTGGGAAATGTGAGTCATGACATTCATGACACCCATATTATACAAGGATACTATACTTATAACATGATGAGTACCTTGTTCATCTCTCTTTTTTAATTTGTTTCTAACCAAGCGGAGCTCCCCAGCCAACAGGCAAAGATCAAGTTTGTGCTGGCTCACACAGAACCACTACCTAAAGTATTATTTGAATTTTCCTAATATCAGAATAAAATATATTTTCAATGACCAGAGTTGGCTGATTGTCCCCTTATTGCCTACCACGTAAGTAAGGCTTGTTGGCTATGATATTTAATAAAATTTGGTACATGATGTTGTCACTTCATTACTGCCCTTTCTCTTTCCACAAAAGCAAAGTGCTTGTACGTCAACACAGTCACAGTCACTAGAATTTTGCCCGGCTGGTTACGTTCCTGTCAACACCCTCAGGAGATTTAGGTAGGGATCATCCAAGGGGAGAATATAATAGAATCTCTGTGTGAAGCTGGCTTTTATCTATGGAAATGTCAAAGGTTGAGAAGTTTAAAAAAAAGGCAGCACAGATTTTGGTTTCCTGTTAGAAAAGGCCAGTCAGCAAATGTATATTTCTCTGCCAGTAGCTCAAACAACCACGATCAGGGAGCAGTGGGCTTAGATTTTTAAACTGGACAACATCCATGAAGGATTAGTTGTTCTTATTTCGGCAAGCACTCTCATGAATAACGACCACCAGTGACAGACAAGTCAGACACTGTGGAGAACTGGTGATACATCAGAGTCACAGTACTCTTTGTGCAAAAAAGCCTCGGCTTCCCTCCCTTAAGAATGGCTGTTTTTTCGGCCGCAGAAAAGGGGGAATGGAAAAGAAGGAAAAACAGGAAAGGGCGGTGCAGAACTGAGAGAATTATGACCAAGGAAGGGATCATACAGAAAGACTAGGTTTCCCCTGAGCTACCCTTCATGCATCTCAATTAGTACAGTGCTTGTCGGGTTGGTGATCTTCCTGTATTTGTTTTTTTAGCGTATGGAGAGTTGTTTGTGAACTTGAAGATGTTGGTAAGTCATCTTTTTCAATTCACATTTTTGAATACATTCTAATAAATAACAGACCAAATGTATCTGATCAGTACATCTGCTAATATATTTAGCACATTCCTGGCATCCCAAGCTTCCATCCTCCCTGCGTCTTTAATAAGTTTCCTTCCGGCTGCCTCCCTAGTACCACCTCCACAAATGCTCAGTTGACTCCCCCCACAGACAGCTGAGCTAAACCAGTGGACCCTTGATTTCACATACCCTTGAAACAGGACGGAGCGGTGAACATGTCTGGGGTCGGAGACGTACAAGCCGCCGGACAGAACGGACAAGGAATACCAAACAGTGTCCGCCTGTGTTTCTTTACGCCCCCACCCCCATCACCATCCAGAGGACCTTCTCATAAGAGACAAAAGCAATAAATCAAGCTGGCCTCTGAGACCATGACAGAGGGTCTGATCTTTAAAGTGTTCCCACTCACCGTCCTTTCCCTTCTAAGCAAGGCACTGAGCGCTAAATAATCCGAATGGAGGACAGAGTCCCAGGTCTCGCACACAGACAGAGATGAGACGACTGTATTTCTAACTTTACACAAGAGAGAAATATTTAAAATGACGAGGTGAAGGCCTAAAACGGCATCACAATTTCCACATTAAGTGAGCATTCCAGTTGCTCCTCCATTCCTCTACAGAAGAGGGCCGGACAACTCAATTTATTGAGTTGAACACTGAGAGATACTGTGGAGTGGAACATTGTGAGCTAGCAAAAAGAGTGCCAGAGACTTTCCATCAAGACTTTTTCAGCTGGCACTTTATTTATTTATTTTGAGGCCCCAAGAAAATCTCCACAAACTACATGTTCCTCTCTCTCGGTCAGAGATAAATCTCGGCACACTCATATAC